TACTATCGGTATCTAATGCTCTGACACCATATTGCAGTGTAATTCCATCGCACCTAATCCTACTGACACTGCATCGCATATCTCGGGGTGATAGAACATCGGATAGGCCCATCCGATACAAATATCTTGGCAGTGATTCTCCTTTTCTATTATCTTTGTACATAGTTGAGATGATATCTCATTGGTCAACCACTTGCCTTCTACTGTACTATTACTAAGTCATGTTTCTGTGCTTAGTAATGCTTACATCTGTTACTACTTATGTAGCTGTAACTTTTTTGTGGGCTCTTGATACCAAGCCCTGAGATGTAAGTTTAAGTTTACTTAAGACACATTGTTACACATAAGTTACTATCACAATTACCACTGTTACATATATGTAGGATATGTAATCTACTATTACATGTATATTATGTCAGCCAAGGCATAATCTGAGAAGACCAGATTGTCTTATAGATAACTGATTACATATAGTTTACAGACATTACTGTTATCATTACACATGAAACCAGTACTGTAATCATTTTTACATACAGTACTGTATTCATTTACTGTAAATGTTTTGATTGTAATACATGAACAGTCATAATTATGAGTATTACATGTAGTTACTGTAGTGTAACAACCAGTGCTCATACCATAGCATTTAGATGCTTAAAATGGGAAAGAGCTTTGTGGACTAGACACTTGGATATGTTTTGTTGTGATTTCTATTCCTCTTTAAGATATCTCTTTCTCTCATTTGTTCATGTGATTGTCTGGTTTTGTAATCATTTAGACAGACCCATACAAGTCTGTCACATGATCAAAGAAGACAAGTCTCATGGTTTTGGTTCCAGTTGGACTGTGCATGGGGTCTGATTGAACTAATTTCAAATCTTTTTTGTTCCTTGTTTCTATTTCTTTATATATACATATATATATATCAATATATACTATTTGTATTTGAATTATATTTCTTTGTATTTTTTAACTTGTTATTGAAATATATGGGTTGTAATATTTGTGAGTTCATAAGATTGAAAAACAATATTATATAATATGATATAAATGTTTTATATAATTTTGGAAATAAAATTTTGTAAGGCTATGCCTTGGTGAACATTCAATTTGAGTAGGTTTGTGTGTTTCATATATATATATGATTATTTATTACTATAGCTGTTTATTTATAAAATCTTGCAAAATTTATTGCTTTCCACAGCATAGTCCACATTGAGGAATATTTATTATGGTCCTGCCTGAATTTTGGCCACAACATGCATGCAATGGCCTTGGGCAGGGTCAACATTTGGCCAAATGCTGAACCCACCCAAGGCCCTTGTGGAAAGCAATAAAGTTCACATAAATAATACACATGAATATATAAGCTTATAAGCTTCATCTCACAACCCTGAAAGGGTCTTTAATTATTGAGCTCACAGACAAAGTCCCAGAAAGGAAAGAGAGAGAGTGTCAGCCCTGAGGACTGCCCAGAAGTCCCACAGACTGTACCACATATTACAGGTAGTGTAATAGTTACAGTAAACAACATATGTGTAAACATATACACATTAAGTCAAAAACTACAACTCAGGGCTCAGTGTCAGGAGCCCATATGTACACTACATAATATAAGTAAACAAAGGTTAAGACACATAAATACAGATGTAATCATAATTACCATAGAATGATATAGTGACCAATGAGGCTGTGCTAGCATAAATAACTATAAACAGAAATAGTGACCAATGAGGCTGTGCTAGCATAAATACTAT